TCGGCCGGTCTATGCCTTACAAAATTGTTGTACCCTTCTTAGCAAGTGTGTCAGCAATCTCATTGCCTTTAATGCCACAGTGGCCAGGAATCTATTGTAGGACCACTGTTTTGTTTTTCTCTCTCAGCAGCTGATAGAGTCTCTACATTCGTATATCTCAGCTGTTTTGGGTGGCTCTCTGTTTCCAATAGAGTCTATTGCTGACCGTGAGTCCGAAAGTATTACTGCTTTGGTGAATTTCGTATCCAGACAACATGATTGGCTTAGTGCTATCCTAATGGCCTCTATTTCTACTTCGAATGCGGATCTATTGTGTCCCGCAGCTGTGTAGAAAGAGAAGAGTTCAGAGTAGACACCTGCACCAATGTTTGCTTGGTTTTCTATGTATGTCTTCAGTGAAGACTTGGAGCCATTGATCTACAGGATAGTTGTCATTGAAGCAACGTTGCTCGGCTTTCCATGTATGACCCATCAGTGAAGACTTGGATCCATTGATCTGGTGATTGTCTCAAAGGCCAATTAGCGCATTTGTTCTGAAGGGGTATTTGATTTCCTGAAGAAGTCGAGCAGTTGGGTGCAACACACTACACCAGTTTCTGATAATGGGTTCATGGGTAGAGGGAGGCTTTTTGAATTGTCATCGATTTGTAATGTTTTCTTCAGTTCTATGGCTTTCTATATTAGACCAGATTGCGTTTTCAGATGAATTGGTCTATTATCATAGGAGCTGAAGAATTTATCCATGGAAATGTGCAGTAGCTTCTCATACAGGATCAAGGCTTTCTCTTTGATAAGGGAACATATTGTGGTGATCCCTGTAACCAAGAGCATTTCGTCAATGAGTGTTGATTTTATCCCTATACCTGGCTAGACTCCCAGAACTAGTTAAGCTATAGCCCAGCAATAGAGGAAACAGACGTATCGCACAAAACACACTAATTCAGAAAGTATAGTGTGGATAAGGTGCACAGGCCGGAATCTTAGTCATAATCAAAATGGCAGATTCGCTTAAACAAACTCAGACTTCCGATTGGTCATCGGTTCTGCGCATGTGATCACGAATAGGCGATGACGTGTACCACAACACAATTTTCACATAAATCAATTTCTCACTTTATACAGATTAAGCGGAACGCAAAAAACGTGGAGTTTTACAAATATATAACTTGCTGTCACTTTAGACACTTTTAAAGCATTAAAAACAGTTGTTTATGATTTTGCTACAGAGCTCGTCCCATTCTTACAGTTTGGACACCCTTATCGATAGCCATTTTACCCCAGAGAGTCCAAAATCGATAAAATTTAAATTAATTGAAAAAACATTGTGTTAAGGAAAGTAAGCTATCTTATGATTATGGGAAGAATAGTCGAGTCCTCCTTTCTCTTTGGAGTTATAAGAGAAATTTGATTCTGAAAAGGATGTTAGGATAATAAATCACTCTTGATAGAAGTAAAAATAATAAAATGGAAAATACTTACATTTACAGAATCATGAGTTGTTAAGTCTTCACACCCAGTGATTGCCGCTGCGTTATCATTTATTGGTGTTTAAGGTAATCACAGCAAATTTAGAGTAAGTCGATGGACCAATTTTACTACTAATGGTACAATACAAATCTCCTCAAAAATTAAACGTCCCCTGGAAATACCATCCTAAATGACATTAGGAGTAAGAAATATGGAAGAATACCTCTGGTGTTTTAGGTGTTAGGCTACCTTTATAAAGCATCTATAGTAAATAAAACATGAATGTAAGCGAATTCAAATAAAATTGCATACAATCATTGACGTTGGATTTACGTTGTCATCGCCGTCAAAATCGAATTTAGACTGAATGCTTTCCCACTATTTAGAGATTGTTGTTAGATCGTCTTATGATTCTAACATAAATTGTTGAAGTTTTACATTTGACCATAGGCGTATAGGTATAATTTCTACTCTATTATGCATATGAGATAGTTTTATAGGCTTATGGTTTGGTGAAACGATTGGAATGAAATTTGTGGAGCCTTATTATAGAGTTATTTCACTCTATTTCAACTATTTTTACTTAATAGTCATGGCAAAATAATTATCAGCTTCTTAATGATGCCTATTTATTTAATAGGTGGTTTTGGTAATGAAGTGCTACTTATATTGGGCGTTGTATCCCGTCTTAATTTGCCTCGTTTAAAAGCTTTAAGTGCTCGATTATTGATTCCTTCTATGGTATTATTGGTTATTAGACGGTGGTTGGGTGCTGAAGTTGAATGAACGTTTCTTATGCTTCCCGTACATATGACTGGTGTATCTGCCTTTTATATGTAGGTTTGCATGCGCCTTATTAATACAATTAATTTTGTTATAATGAATTATTTAGGACTTGAAAATAATAGAAATTGATTTTGTTTATGTGAAGAAAGTTTGGCTTGGGTGTGCACAGCCCGTGACACCCACGCCATGCGTGTGGCCTAGCTTCGCCTATTCGAGGGCGCTTAGACATGGAAGGTAACCTTAGATGAATTTGGAGTTACTTATCATACGTTTATGATTCAAATGAAATTATTTGCACTATTTTATATTGTGTTTTATTAAGTACACGCTATTTATACTAATATATTTTTTTTCTCTTATTAGACATCCTTTTTATTTTTGTGATTTTTTAGCAAGTAAATCTTTCATTAGTAGATTACTTTGTTGTTATGTTTTTGGGATTAATTGGTATTCTTTAATGTTTTGTTTCTTTGATATGGGAGGGGTGTATATATTAATGGTAATTTTTTTGTTTCGGTACATAGGCCAAATAATAATTTTTATACATACAGTAGGCTACATGACTTTATAATCGTAGTGATATTTGTTATATTTGTGTCAATTTTAATTTATAGTTCATTATTTACAGCATTTGATAAGTGGTGGTCTTAATCCTAAGGTCATTTTGAATGCGGAAATTGAATAGATGCATGTTGGTTGTGTGCACTGCAGATATACGAGTGAACCGCCTTTGAGAGGTAGTGGGTAGAGTGTGTAGAGGTCAGGGGCATGGAATAAGTCCAATTTTAACCAAGGAGAACGCAATCAGCCAATACAGATGCTTCACTAATACCTAGGAGTGACAAAATGGTGTGTGAAATCGATCGATTTTGGAGTGAGAATAACCAAGTACTGTTGAAGTGGTGATCTGAGCTGTTTATTTCCTGCTATAGGGTGAAATGAACAAACTGTAGCTGCACAAATATCACATGTGTGGGTTAGAGTGGGGATGTTGGTTGGAATTTAGAAGACACTGAGGGGGGAGGGAGGAGGTGGGGGGGGNTTAGGGGAAGGGGCTAGAGGAGCATAAGCATATAGCAGGAATATATGTCTCTAATAATGATTATAAAACATTGAAATGGAGATGAGGTAAAGGGAGGGGGAGTAGTTAATCACACAATCCTAAAGCGCAAACTATGGGGAAGATATATGTATACGTGTGAATAAAATAGATTACTAGAAGAGGGTGGAATATCTGGTAAATGAGCAGGAAAAAGATGGTAAAATTGGGATATGCTTATATATAAATATATATATATATAATAGTAAGACCCATGAGAATGCGTGAGTTACCTGAGGAAGAAATAAGCCAGAGTATGAATGGTTATTGTTGGGGTGTCCTTGGTGAGAGTTGGTCTCAATTGTGGGGATTTGAAATCCGATTCTCTTGTGCATGTTGGCGAAATTGAAGGAAAGGTAGGAGCTAGCATTGAGAGGTTAAAACTGGATAAGGAATAAATATGAAACAAAGGACTTTTTTGTCTTTTCTTTTTTTATATTTTTTTGGTTTTTTGCGTAATTTTATAATTTTTTTGTTTTTTTTTTTCATATTTTGTTAATCATTTTCTGGATCGAAAGTAAGGAGGAGGAGGAGGAGGAGACGGAGAGGAGGGTAGCCGAGAAGAGATGAGTTGAGTTGTTGAAGGTCACTTGGGTTTGCAGGTGCCTTTCCGTCGCAGACTTTTCTGCTTGGAAAGTATGTCACCATGCCCATTCCCTTTCAGCTCTTTCTCCAACTTACCTACCACCTCATTATAGCGAGGAAAAAAGTCTTAGAGACTTTCCAAATTCCTCGTGTGCTTGTTCAAGCCTTCTCTGTAAGATTCTGCTCTCCACCATGATGTCCTCGATAAAGGTTGGAGAGATTGCAAAAGTCTCTCCACAGAACTCTTCTAATGACATTAACTTCTCCCCTTGTATGTGGATGCCGTCTCCGGAGCCCACATCTCTACCTTCTTCTCTATGGCAGTCACCTGGGAGTTCATATTCCTCTCCTATTTCTCTCACACTACTGTCCTCCTCTTCCTCATCCTCCTCTTCTTCTTCTTCTTCCTCCTCCTCTATCGTGCTCAACTGGCCACCTCTAAACCTTTTTAATGGCCTTTCTAAGTTCCCTTGATCTCTTCTCTCCCTCCTCTGCTTCGCCTCTTCATACTCCTCACAGAGCCTTTCGAGCATTAGGAATTCTCTCAGGCTAGAGGAGCACTCGCTGTCCTCATCTTCATCCTCTCTACTCGTAATATTCTCCTCTTCCATCTTCCTTTCCTCTGCTTCCACATTCCTATTCTTCTCTGCCTGTGCAGCCTCTTCGCACAGTCGTTCAAACTTGAGAAATTCCCGGTCGTACCTCCCTATCGTGGCGTGTATGCGTGAGAAGTCGCGTTAAGCGATGACATGTCCCCACAAACCTAATAATGTTACTAATAAAATTAAGTAGAAATTAATAGTATAGAACTTGAACATTTTTCAACTCGAGTTTATGTAACTAATGCAATATGTATTTTGACAGTTGAAATAATAATTAGTACAATAAAAACCATGTGAAAAATGTAGGTATCATAATAAACGCAATGCTAGCAGTAATACATGGAAATTTTCCAATAGACTTATGAATAGAAATAATCTTAATAAAATCTCTATAAATAAAGCAAAAAATAGTTGGCATTTAACGAATGTTGTATATCAATGAAAACGACTTCAATAGACACATTAAAATTTCGATTTGTTGCCTAAAAGCTGGCATGCAATACCTCATAAACAAGGCAAAGAACAGTATATACTGATCCTATTAATAAAATACTAATTAACGACTTACTGGAATTGTTAAAAGTTGGCACTCGTAAAAATAAAAAGAAGCTCTTAAGGCTAATCCACCCACCTTAGAGTTAATTCCACGTGAAATAGCAGAGGTGGTTGAAAAGTATCACTCGAGCTTTATAGGCAATGGCGTACCCATTGAGTCTGCCCTTTATACATGCTCCAATATCAAATAATGAATCCGGACTACTTAATTATATCATAAATACTAGAAATAAAAATGTGAAGCTCTTAAAATCCTTTATTTTAAAATAGGAAAAAGTCAAAGAAAGAAGAATTGGAAAAGAGAGGTTTATTGCTACCACTCTTAGATAAATAAAATAGGAGTAAAATTGTGAAGCCTCATATTAAAAATCTCAATAAGATATGAATGGAAAATATACGAATCAAAGTAGTACCACTATTAGAAAACCAACAAACAGTATACCAAAATGGGTAAAATTTTGCATATTAGCAGATCGATATGACAGTTGATGTCATGGTAGACTATAACCCATTAGGCTTCACCCATTAAAAGTAAGTTCAAAATAAACCCTTCTTTTCAGACAAACCCCTTAGAGAAAGCAGAAAAAAATCGAAATAGATTTTTGCACCTCAA